AGGAACTGGACATAGACAAAACAATAATAGTAACTGAACGCAATAAGGTTTTAAAGAAATAGCAACAATATGACAAGCAAAAATTTAAAAAAAACTCCAGAATCTAAATGATGATGTTATACCACAAATTTATATCCCACTAGAACCTTTTAGGCTTCTAGTTATATTAATCACCATAGAACACTCATGTCGCTTTCGTTTAAAACGAGTAATCGGAGATTCGAGAGTAAGCACCAAAGTTCACATAAACAGAGAAGCTAATAAGAAAACAGTGAGCAAACTGAATTGCATGCAAGCACTATCACAGGAAACAACACACAAGTTTCACAAGTACCGTTTGAACACCACAAGTTACATTAGACAAAGTACGGCATACACCTTAGTATTTCTCTACACGAGGTTGAGCTTATCGGAACAGGTAGTCTAGGGATAGATCTCCTTAAACAAAATCAAACTTCCTTCTAAAAATGTTACTGTATCCACAACATTAAAAAGAAGAAATGAATCCCGAAGATAACAGTTAGACTGCAACAAGTTTTACAAATAACGGCTACCAGGAGAAGTCGGAGTGTAACGAGGATTAGACGGAGTATGACGACGTGTCATACTTGCACTATTCGCTGGATAGTAGTAGTGAGCCGCGCTCGGATGCCCAGAGTAATATGACGGAGGAATGTTTGGTGACAAGAAATGAGAACCTCCAGAATTTGTTGGTCTTACATTCCTAACAAGTCTTTTTGGGTTATCATGATTTCGTTGAGATGACATTGTATGATGATATCCAGACGATGAGGACGGCGAAGGTGGTCGCTGAAAAAATCAGAACTGTTAGCAAAAAAGCACAAATTTCAAACAAAGCTAAAAAAAGTTTGCGTCACTGCTGGTGTGCAGTTGACTCCATATGATAGCATCAATATTAAATCGAACGCATTTGCAAAATTGGAGCACATAAGTTGTTAACGGTGTAATAGGTCAGCATTTTAACTCCAAAATCACAGAAATAAGCGATTTATAAATGAAAAGATATTATTTTTAAACATAAAGTATCGGAATGCCAGTTCTCTATAGTTAGTGCAAATTATGATGCAATAAGACCACTCTTTTTAGCGATGCATTAGTAAAAAAACGCTTGATTCCCGTTGTTCATTGTAAAACTAGGAACGAATATTTGATAACTGCTCTGTCACAATTTTTAACAAACATAAAATTCAAAGTACTTTGTATCCTGTAAACAATAAATTTCATGACCATAAGGCTAGATGCCTTATCCATTTAACAAATGTTGCTAAATTAGAGAAGACTGCCTAAAAAAGCTTGGAATTTGGTGGCCATTTATGCCCACTTTTATAAAAGCGAGTTACTTTTAGAGAATTTAAATTGACGCTTTCTTCCCAATTTCCTACAAAAATACCTTTTTTCATTACCGAAACGAAAACGACTGTTTCTAAGCAAAATTTCTATTGAAAAAATTCAATAAAAATACGAAAGTCTTACCGAATGCGCATAGCAGCGAAAAATAATGTCTGAAAACAGTGCTGACTTAGCAACTCTTGTTTTTCCTAAGTTATTCAATAAAAAATTTACTAGTAAAAGCAGGTATAGGTGCAGCTAAGCAAAAAGGTCTGGTAAATAAAGATTACACTAGCGTTAAGGATGTGCTCGGGCATGCTGTTTAGATATATTTTGACTGACTCGATATCCAGGAGGAAGTGGTGGAGGAACATATGGTCGGGCTCTTTCATAACTAGGTGGAGGTACACTCTGCATAGTCAACTGAGCAATTCGTGTTAATCGACGCTGTGCAGTCGCTGACAACGGCTGCTGAGGCTGAACTAGAGCAGCATTAGGGTCTGAATTCGTTGAAACCGTCTGATATTGTTGTCTTCCACCACCTCGTTCCTGTTGCACAAAAGTATTGCTCTGGGATGAAACTCCAGCACCATTTAGTGGCACGTCCATACGACGTAACAGTGACCCGCCACTGCTATTCGGTGTCATCCTCTGCTGTTGTGCTGGTTGTTGCGCCTGAGCAGACTGTAATAAGGCGTGCAAGTTGGAATCTATATGATGGAAAACAGCAAATTTAAGCAGAAATTTTATAAACTAAGCTACAGTCAACGAAATTTGGAAGAAAACCAAAATTGTGTTGCAAACATTTTAAATCAGAACTTCAGAAAGCTTCGGGTAAAACTCCTAGAAAAATTGCTCGATATACAACGTACGATTTAAATAAAGCCACACCATAGCCCAGTTGATGTAAAAAGTATTAAAATGATATTTACCTGCTGTGCACTTCGTCGACCATCAGCAGAATGTTGCATATGATTTTGTGACTGCAGATGAGGCTGAAGCACAACAATATCAGCAAATTAAAATGCTACAGACAAGGTTACAAGTTAACCAGTTAGCAACCAAACAAAAAAGTTACCAATTTCAGTCGGTTTTCAATTTTTCTCTGTCCAGCTTTATAAATTTTGCCTGTGTTTCAAAATTAGCTTTTTATAGAGTGGCATTTTCAAAGTATTACAATAATTGTTGATACAGTTCAAAAATAACTGTACTGTAAGTGACTTCATCTATGTTTTTATCAAAAATTTAAAAAGTTGCAATGAGAAAGAACTAAAAAAAAACTTCGAAGAAGATCATAAAAGGAAAACCTAACACTCACAGAATCAGCACTCACAGTCCTGCGTGTTCCTTGTCTACGCCCAACAGCAAGACCTGCAGCTGCATTTTCAAAGAGCGCAAGGCGCCGACGAACGTCAATATTCTTTGGCACATCCTTCCCAGTAATTGTTGACGAATGAGGAGGTAAATCATAGATTTTTTCCCAATCAGCAAGTTCTATAAAAGAAAAGTGCTTATTCGGGAGAATAAACCAGCTAGTTCCTCAATGCAAAACAAAACAATTGTTTCTCACCACTCCTTTAAAAAAAAGCAAAATTACTCGATTTTATTCAGTATAAACCTTGATTAGATTTTTGTGATGAAGAGCTGGGTTGTACACTGTGATCATGTAGAGACTTGTTCATATGTTGTGATGAACTTAAGTCTAAACGGTGAAAGTTCCGTTGGTGTATAACTTCTACTTCTTCTTCCTCTTGATTCGGTGCTTTAGGCGATAGTGAACTTGCCGGATGTACCTTTTTAACGATCTGAAAACACCAGCTGTCAGAATTGAGGTAAGTGTTCTAACTCTGAAAAACAGCACAGTAAAGCACAGAGTGAATAAATATTATCATATAAAGCCGAAAACCACGGTATTCAGGTTGAAAACCGAGTTCAAATGATACAAAATCTTGTTTAATCCGTACAGATACCTTAATGGCGTTGGGAGCATGAGGATAAAAACCACCACTCGGAGTAGCCCTCGGACCGCCAAATGCTGGTTTAGGCCTATGACTACCATCTGGAGATGGTTGAATAAGGTATTTTATTTGCCGTTTGGCTACATCGTCAAGCGGGCCAGTGCCTAAAAAGGTTCGCTTCACTAAACGCATTAAGACGGTAAAGTACGAATGTCGCTCGCAGCTTTTACCTATCCTAAATCACAGCTTTTTAAAAGAAATTATACTTACCCATGCCTCTTCTTGGTGAATGAGGAGGTGTATTAGTAGGAGTAAAATTCTTTCTTTCTTTTTTAAACTCGGTTTCGTAAACTACTGGTTCCCATTTGTACTCGCTATCATCAGCTGTCTTAGGATATCCTGCAAGAGATTTCTGCATATCTTAGAATTGAGAGAAGGCGCACAATATGCTTCAAAACTACACCTGGTGCAAAGTCAATGATAGGCTCATGACCTGGTTCGACACTAATCGGCCTCCGCACTGAGGGCCATATGTAGGGTTGTTCAGGAGGAGGTTGCCAACGTTTACCTGTACGAAGAATTTCGGGTTGGGGTTCTGGTTTCTCAACAAAGGCAGAACGGCGCTAAAAGAACATTCTTTGTCCACTTTCAGAAGAAGATAACGGCGCAGGTTCAATCATATATCAAGTTGACTGCATACTTTAAGTAAATCCACATCAAAGCGCTCTTTTTTTAGCAATTCGCTACTGGTTAATATTTCATTTTTGGCAGCAGGTTCACTAGGTTCTACAACGTAAGTTCTCTTCCAAGTGGACGATATCGGTGAAAATGCAAAATCACGCGGATCAGTAGACTCAGAAAGAGCCGATATCGGTCGCGTCTCAAAAACTCGCATTTGTGGTTCATCATAAGGAAGATCCTGAGTTTTTTATTAAGTTAGTCAAACACTAAAAGGAATTTAGCCTGCAAAACTATCCTACTTCCAATGACAAGAAACAAGCAAAACCTGAAGTCTCATCGGGATAGCCCTTTCAGAAGACAAAAGCTGTGAAGTATGCATTGCAGAATTATTCATCTGTTCTGGGCTCAACTGTAAAGTGTCTATCATTTCGACAGGGCCATTTACTAGGCTTGCATTCTGCTGATAATACAATCGCTGCTGTTGGAGCTGCATTGCTTGAAGCTAGAAACAGTGCGGTAAAAAAGTTTCCTGAGACATATTTGGTATAGCTTAAATCTAAAATTTCCTAGAGATTTAGAACAAAATTTTTCATAAAAACTAAACTTAAAAAAAAAAGTATAACTAACTTGTTTTTGACGGTATCGAAGCATCTCCTCCTCATGACGTCTCATTGCTTCCAACTCCATTTGTTTTTGTTTCCGATATTCTTCAATCCTTTCCGGATCTGTAATGTTCCTTGCCATAACTGAAGCTGACCGAGGCCTTGACTTTTCAGATGGAGGAGGCCAAATAACAACAGATTCGCTTCTTTCTTGATTCTAGAAAAATACTCGATTAAAAATTAAACAACCTATAAAAAACAGACAAAATTCCAAAACTACTTTTTTGAAATCGACCAAAACTAGAAATTCTAGGAATACTTGAACCATACTTCTTCATCATTATTTCCAGAACGTCTACGTGCAATTTCTGCTTCCGACAGCGACATCATTTTCATTCTGCGTAACCTGCAGTCAACTACTAATTACCCTTAAAAAATAGTCGCAAAACCCCAAATACAATGTTTCAAATTACCGATTCTCGTCACCAGATTCGTTCCAATGTTCGGCTTCATGACTTTTATAATCCGAGCGACTCAGCTCTTCCTGTGGATAACGATTATCCTCACGAGATGTTTCATGCATTGTTAGAATTGGAGCGGTAGACTGAGATCTTAAACAAGAGTAATGTACCAAGAAATAAAAGCTTCAAAACCAACACACCAAGTTATAAAAAATTTATAAAAAAACGAGCGAAGATCCTCTAAAAGAAGTGACTTAGTAACAGTCTAAAATACTACGCAATTTACACTTAACTACTGTACAACCTTTACACAAAATCCAGCTAAATTTCGGCCACGAATCATTTGAAAGTCACTTCTGCCAACCGTGAGCATAAAAAATTATTATATAGGCCACAAAAAGACAATACTCTTCCACTAATAAAAATTAGTTTTTTAAGTAACAGTCACAGTGTTACCGATAACGTTGAGACGGTCCTACTTCTTCCAGACGAAAAAAAGGACCATTAAACGAAGTTTGAGGATAACGATGCTGAGGAGTTATTGAGCGTTGCCTGTGCTTTCTTAAATTCTCCTGCATTATTCTGAAACGTTCCTCTTCATTTTGCATTTCTGCTGTTGCACTGTCTGAGCGAATAGATTGTTGATAAGCAGGGTTCTCCTGCATCTGAGATGTATCACCATGATAATACAGGGGAGCATTTATCTGAAATGGGCTTCAGAATCCAAAGTAAATTCAATTATCAAGTAAATATATTTAACTATCATTGTCGAAATATACCATTTCAGGTTCAAAATACTGCTCTTGCCACTCTGCCTGCCTGTTACTAGACTGCTTAGCAGAGTCGCTTCTGACAAACTCTTTCTGAAGATATGAGGAAGGTTGCTTAAGAATTGACTTTGGCTGTTGTTTGCCTGCAACACTTGACTGTGGTGAAAGAGACGGTTCTTTTTTCTGGTCCTCAAAGTCGTCCTTACGAGATCGTCTCGGCTGAAATTATTAGTCAGTCGAAATAAACCAAATCGAACTGCAGTTTGACAAAGTATCAGTTCACGGATAAATACCAAAAGAATAAATTTTTAATATAAAAATTTAAAGCACAAATTTTTCTGGTTAAAAGCCTACGGGTTCACTCTGTCGACCACTGGCTGTAGAAGAATGATCAACTTGCAAATTGATAGAATTTTTTTCTGGCTCGCTTATGTTTACAGCAACGATTGACGGAGGCACCGGCTGATTTTCGTAAACAACCCTTTCTCTTGGTCTTTCCACAGGCGTTTTTTCCGAAACAATCTGTTCTAGACTTCCAGGAGGATAAAGCAACTAAAAGCAGTCCAATGCTTTGAACTAGCAATAAAAGTCAACTACTGAAAAAGATAATTCTTAACCACATTGAGCCACTAAAAGCAAAGAACTGCTTTTAACTGACATTTGAGTCTGGAAAAAGGAGAGGAGATAAAGCTACACCTACCTAATTCTGACGTAAAAACTCGTAATCATTTCACACGTACTTAATTCTTTAGAGCTGTTTTATAACTAATGTTTAATTTTTTTACATTAATAACAAGTCTTCCTCCTGAGACCCACCTGAGTCTTTGATCCAGTTTTCTTTAGCGCCGATGGCCCGCTAAAATCATGTTCTCCAAAATAAAGCGGATTTTTCGGCTGGCTTTCTGCTATATTTCGAAAGTTCTGCGATGTCTCTTGCGGTTCCTTCAGATGATCAATGTCAACAGATGCAGGGCGAGAAGAAGATGCACAGCCTTCCAGCTTAAAAAGAGCTCTTACTTAATAACTCTACAAACCTCTAAAAATTCTAATTACTAAGTAAGCTCTAAAAACAATTATTTTTCTGTTTCTTCCTATATACCGCAGCTGTCACTAGCTATTTAACAGAGCAAATCCCCATAAAACTAAGATTCCTTGCTCTATTGAAATTAAAAACCTTGTTTTTAGGAAGCCCCCCGCAGCCAACTTTCTCCTTGACAGAAGATGAACTGCTATTTTCGCTACTCTCATTGGCCGCCTCGGCAATGTTAGGAAGGGAAAAACCACCGGAAGACAGAGATGCAGCAAATAAAGATGGAGTAGGAATACTTCGATGCACTCGGTGTCTTAATTCATCCCTTCTAATTTGGTCAAAATATGCTGCCTTCAAATCTTCAATGGAAGAACGACCATAAGAAATATGGTGATCATTATCAGAATAGACAGACAAAGACCATCCACTACGTAAGCACTCTGGAGTAGTGAAGGGTAATGACGGGCTTTGTGTTTGGAAAAATCGTTGTGGCTGTGACGATGGTCGCTGTAAGTTCGCCATTGCACTAACAGCGATTAATAATTTGTTACAGTATAAAAACAGCAGAAAAAAAAAATAACTTTTATGAAACAGAACATTCGCATTATGTAATCTTATAGGCTTCAGGTATGCTTTTTAACACTCATTTTAGATAATTTAATAGTAATATTAATAATAATAGTAATAATAATAATAGTGCCTCTCAGTAATCTATGCAGAACAGAAGTCACCTTAAACAAATAAATTTTGCTAAAAATCTGTTAAACGGCTAGAAAGCATAATTGAGGATTATTATTAGAGGGAAGCGATAAAGACAATTAAAATAATAGAGAAGCGCGAATATTGTCAACACAGTTGAGGGTATAATTTGATAGGCGGTGCTCGTGTAATTTTAGCCGATGATACACTTTGAGCAAAACAGAGCCCAGAAAATAAGTGACAGAAAAAAAAGACAAATAAATTCTATAGTTAAGCAATCAGCAGCGATAGCAGCAACAACAGTAACAGAAAAATTCTAAATTTTTAAGTGATGAGGTAAGTGAAGGTTGAAGAAGACTTGCGACTTTCTTGTGTTCAAGTATTTCTGCTAGCATATGATGCAGAAATCTAGAGACTATGCTAAATGGTGAGGTTAACAAATTTGCCGAAGTAGTGACGAATTATCGAGCGAAATAATATTTATTCAGTTGGCAACCAGGTACCACACCAGTCAGGCAGTAATATAGCTAACAATAGCATTCCAGCCACCCCGACTAGCAACACCATCCAGTAACGCCGTAGCAAAAAAAGAAAACCAGCAAAAAAACAGCAAAAAAAAAAAAGAAAGAACCCTATACTAAAGTCAGTAATATTCAGCGTACCTTTCAAGCTTAAAAAGCTTACCTCAATTTACTTTTTAGCTCTCTAACGAGGAAAGAACCCTAAGATTGATAATACTACAAACAAAACAAATCACAGCAAACTGCACACATAAAATAACCACTAAAGTTCAAGTAAACCACTGTTTTACTTCAACGATATCTTCCTCTTATAACATCTCCGTAACGTACAGTAATTTCAGTTGTTACAATTTACATAATAATAACCAATAATTTTCCCTTTTCTTTTCAGCCAATTAACTTGAATATTACACAAAAAGTAAATTAGACTAATTCAAAATAGATAAACAGATATTTGTAAAAATAGATAAAAATGAAATTTGTAGTAATTGAAGCAAAAGAAAAGTGGAAACAAAAATCAACTGTTTATATAGTTGTACCAGTCCCAGGGCTTCAAGAACACTAGTAACCCTCGAACCTGACGTGAAATAATGATTTTAAAAAACTCCTTTGCTTCCAAAAATACTGCTTTCTAAAGAAGCATCGAGTAAAAAACACTATCCATGTTTTATCTAAAAAACTGTAGGAAAACCAAAATTATTTAATAGCTAATTTGAAAAAAAAAAACACTATTCAGAAAACCTTTAACAAAAATGCTTTAAAAGTTTTAATCAGTGCAAGTGACAAAGATTCTATGACTTTGACAAACAACGTTTTTGAAGATAATAGAACTTTTCTCTACTAAACTGAATGTGCCCTGAAAACTGCGACTATGGGGCCTATAGAACTTTTAAAGTTTCCTTCAATATCATATTCAAAAACTGTTGCTCGTTAAATCTTTTCTCATCCAAAAAATTTACACTATTAAATCACTGCCATCAAATGATAATTATTTTTTTAATTTAGAAGTAACACAATTTAGAAATTACCGTTTAAACAAAAGTTCGCTAATTTGTGCATTTTAAAAGCTTTCCAAACAAATAGATATAGAATGTATTTAATGAGAGTTATAGACAACTTCGTCAAATACTTGTACAGCAAAAAAAACTGTACAGTGCTTTAGCTTCTAGAACATAAAATCTCAAGAACGCTTCTGAAAATGTACGGCACTGTTGAAAAATTCACATTAGAAATAGCTACAGAAAAATTCGTTGAAGTGAGTTCTGACTTTCATAAGGCAGAATCAAAAAGCGAAAATCAATCATAAAATTGATGAACGAAAATATGCAAACAAAAAGGGCTAATGTGCGCTACCTATTGAAACAAAATTTACTAAACGACAAGAAAAAATAGAGGACCGCTAGTTTTGCGATGAAATCGTAGCAAGATTAATGTTTTTGCTACAAAAAAAATTACTAACGAAGAACTGACATTTTTGCCCCAAAAGATATGTAGCACCAAATAAGCACCAAATAAAATTTGGTTGTGGCCGCAAAACAACTAAATTTTCCAACCATATAATTTCCTGAAGTTTCTCAACAACTGTAGCAGATCCTTATGAAGAAAAAATTGACTATTTTACAATCCGCAATGGCTTCCTCCACACACAAGTAAACAGCAACAACATTGCAAAATATCCTTTCAATTCAGAAAAAATGTAAACAACTGCGGTATAATGATCAGTTCAATGACACCAAAAGAAAATCAATTACAACAGGGAAGAAAGTGTACTTTGAGCAACTGTGTTTGGAATATTAGCAAATTCTGTTACCTTATACTGAGAAAGTCGAAATTCCTTTTTAAGCCTCCAAGAAAGATGGTCTTCCTTCCCTTCTTCGCCGTAAGTTGCGTAGCTTTGCTAAAAAACTCGTTTAGACAAACATTTTTACTCCATAATTACTATGACCTAATGAAATTGAGACAAAGATTTTGGTTTGAGAATGTGCTATTTTTTATAAAGTAACGGTTTGTATCATTCGATGACAGGATCATCAAATATTAACAGTAAAAAGTATATGAAGCCATCTTAAGGTTTTTTCTTTTTGTAAGCTGTTCCACTGTTAAAATAACGAAAAACCACTGTACGTAAACAAGTGACTGTAATCCTTAAAATAAGCAACATCTTCCGTGAAAGTTTAATTGAGTGATTAAAGAACCGTTTTTTCAACATTTGCAAATTAAGTGGAACAGTTAATTCTTAAAAAACGTCAAGTCGTCTTTATTCCACATTTTCCAGTCTACTTATGAGTGTTACCTCTCGAAGAACTACAACAATAACTACTCTATACAACAGCAAAAAGACTTGACTTTTAATTAGCAGGTTTCAGCATCAAAAGCAAACTCTCTTAAGCAAAATTTTTATTGTTTAATTATATAGTCTGTCTCCTCTAACAAATTTTCTTACCCAATGAAAAGTAAAGAAGGTAAAATAAGGAATTTTGAAAAGAATGAGGAAGAGGTAACACAGATTTGTCTACTGTCCCTCCACTTCATAGAAAAACCAACACCTAATTCAGTAAAGTGAAGAGTCACTACTATGTATCAAAAAAACTAAGAAAAACACAAAAGAAAAAAGCGATAAAAAGGTTTGCAAATTGAACTTCTAAATAACAATGGGTTACTAAACAACACCAGCGGCCAGGCAAAAGTCATTACTGGCCCTCCAAAAAAAGACAAATAAATGAATAAATAAATGCTGAATGAACGACTAGCAAAATAAACCGATCGCCCTATGTCATCAAACGTTTTTATCTTTTTAAGTAAAAAATTACATAAACTTCTGACCAAATAAAAACCTTTTTACCAAAAAGCATCCAAAGAAATGATCTGAATTTAGCGTTCCCATTATTAAGTCAAAAAGTTCTATACAGTAAAAGTGTCGAAATATATAAACAGTTGAAAAAAAATTATTCTCAACTTTTTAAAACGAAAAACAACGAAAATTAAAAAGCTCGTAGCTAAAAGAATTCTAATGTTTGTACGATTTTTAAGCCTCAAAACAAGAGCAGTAACGATAACAGCAGTAGAAGCACCGCAACTGTAATAACAATAACAAAACTGTACATAAATAATATTGAGTGAAGAAAACAACAAAACGGCAGATATAGCTCGTACTGGCATTCCCAGCCAACAGAAGCCCTTTTCACGCGATCTTTTTACCCGCCACTTAACGTCAAAATCTTCAATCTACCCAACTGCTATAAAGTCCCTAACACCGTTTTCGTATCTAGTTTGAACATACTTTATTCTCTACTTTTTTTTAAAATTTTTTCTTTAAAAGCAGAACTTTTTTTTTTTCTATTTTTCATTGTAAAGTCACAATACCAGAAACTTCTCAAAAAATGCACAGACTAGTGTTTTAAAAAGACGTACATTTGAAAATATTAAAAGTAAATAAAAATCTAATAAGTTAGATTTATCAGATAATACTGTAAAAAAAGCAGCTGCAACGAATACCTGTCCAACTACTTTATGAAGAAAGAAAAAGATTCCATTTCATATCCCATAAAACTTTTTAAATCTCACTTAAAAACATAAAAATTTTCAAAAAAACAGCTCAGTCAAATTGCAAATAACTTTTTAACCAGACAGGGTGTGAAAAACAACTTTTTAGTCAGTTCACAGATCAGTGGACTAATACAATTACGTGAAGCAGAAGAATGAACACGTCATGAAGACTTTTTATATTGTTTGCAAACGCCCTCAAAGGTCCTCCTTAATACTAACGAAACTACACTAAGCCAGTGGTATGTACAGCAAAACAAACTTTTCAAGAACTTCCATCTTGTAAAATAAGCTTTGATTGAGCAGTTATTTTACTACGACCCCTAGTGTAGCAGTTAAAAACTGGAATCTGCTGAGAACTATAAAGATCTATTATTTTCAGGTTTATACAACTTCATTTAAAAACACTGCTGTTGTTAACGAATTTAAATTTAATCTTCTAAGAGAAAAACTGTCGAAGTAAAATTAACCATTTCTCTTCGAGAAGATCTCAAATTTGGTAGTTTTTTGGCTTGAGAAGATAATGTTTCATATGCCGAAACTGCGGAATCTGTTGGAACATTATTTTGGCGCCTAAATTTTCTTTCATTATTTTACCGAAGCTATGGCGACTTATGTAAAAAACTCAAAAACTTAAACTGATAAATAAACATTGTACCAAACCAACTTCAGATAATCAACACTTCGCGTCCTTCGCATACCCTTTTTGCTTTCAGCTTCTTCAACACTATCTAAATACCTGTTCTTTCGCAATTTCACCAGCCATCCGGAATCGCTTACTCCATAATTCGTTGATAACTCTTCCGGCTAAAATAAATTTATTAACTTTCAAAAGAAAAAATATTTTTTTACTCTAAAACCTTGCTTTCAGATTACACTCTTTAAATAATTCAGATAATCTCCCTTTCTTCCCTTCTGTTTATTTCATTTTTGAATGAATCAAAAATACCTGAGAAACAATTTTCTCAGCACCTTCCGAAGGCTCCAACATCAACTCTCCCATCGACTGCGTTCGTAAAGATATGCGCTAAAAACCACTGGTTATTTGAAATTAAAATAATTCCGAAGTTTAATAGAAGCATAATGAAAAACAGGTTAATTAAGCAAAAACGCTTTTTCCGTCAAAGTACTTTTAGCTACAGTAATTTGAGAATTTCCAGTCATAATAAGGAAAAAAATAAATTTTGACAGCAAAAAGATCTATGACATTTAGGAAGACAAAACTTGATTACTTTACCACTAACACCAAAACATTCTAAAAATAACTGACCGTGAAAATGAAATGCAAAAACCCTTAAAGAAAAGCCTAATAAAATGAAATATACTGGTGCTTGAAATTAATTTGCTAACAATAGCCAAGGAAATATAGTGAAAGTATAACTCACATGCAAGCGTTCAGTTCACAGCAAAATAATTTTTCGCAGAAGGGTCTATGATAAGTACCAGCAGGCAAAGGAATTCCAAGCCAGTTCATGGTAATAATAATATGAATCATAAAAGGAATCTTCGGCCAATAGAGTTTAAGCAACAGTCGAGACGGTAAAACTTAAACCAGTTTTAACCAAGATCCTTTGCTGTCTTCATGTGTCTTGCTTTCCTGATATTCCGAATTCGTCGAACGTCAATTACCGCAGCAATTTTCTATCTTTTTCTCATTTGGCCCTTACCAAAGCCAAACACCACTGTCTCAGTTCCTTCTTTCGTTTGTTAGTTCTTACAACAAAAAACTTTCAACAAAAAGAAAAAGACCAAAGACCTGAGAGTTAGCGTAATTTAGTGCAGAAAACTTTACACTCACCCAGCAGGGTTGTGCTACACTGTTAACAGTCTGTCAGTAAAAATTTGTCTAAGAATTAGTTTGAAAATCACAATCAAAATTACTCTTTAATCACTTAAAATCTCTATACTTATAACTTCCAAAACTCATTACTTTATAAAAGTCGTTTTTCTAGCTCAGAAATGACCTCAAACCCAATTCTCTATCCTAAAGAGTTATTAAAGGAAAAGATTTTAGAATCTAGTAAAATTACAGCAAAAGCATTAAAAAAAGAAAGAAGCATCCAAAATGCATGCTGTGTTTAAAGTTAGACAGCCATACAACGGTTAATAACACTATTTAATAAGGTACTCTGTGAAAAGTAAAACATACCTTCTGCAACGTCTCTATTGTCTGAAAATAGAAGAAATCTTTAACTGTTACAGAAGTAAAATTAGCAGATTTCAATTTAATAAACTTGTTCTAAATTTAATTCATTTTTCTAATGCAACAGAAAAATCCGTTCTTCTTAACATTCTTGAATATAAGGTACGTCGTACAATATGATTTTTTTTAGCCTGAAAGTTTCGAATAGTATTGAAGCAGTCATATCAGAAAAATTTCTTCTTCTAAATAACTATTGCTTACAAAAAGGTTTATAAAATAAATGAAGCTCAGCAAGATAACAAAAAACTCCAAAAATAAGTATTAAAATACTCCGAATATTACCTCCGTTTTTGATTTTTCTCAAGGCATGTTTCCGTTACCCAAAAAAAACAGATAAGTTTTAAGCTTGAAAAGACTGAGTTACCCAAAAAGTAGACAACTTCAAAGCTTGAAAAAACTTTCAAGAAAGTAAAAATTTATTTTTTAGTATTTTCAACTTTAGATCGGTTGTGTAGCCTGAATATTAAATGGTAACAAACACTCCCAACATTAATACTTACTTACTTAACATTAATACTTATAAACAATGGGAAAGACAAACGTTAACAAATTCAAGCCATGCAAAACTTATAGTGAGCGGCGCAACGACTTTAGAAACCCAAAAATGTAATAATTTTTCTCTCTAAAAAATTCTAGTAAACCACACACAATCATCACTTAACTTCAAAATTAATAAGCTATAAGACCAATTTGCACAAGAATACGACGGGGAAGAAAAATTTAGCAGTTTAGCAGGATCTATCCCGCTGGAAATACTCCTAACACATAAAGACAAAGAAATTGAAAATGAAGCAGTATTCAACAAAAATATTAAACACTTGACTACACTATTTCAAACCCCACATCTTCCTTTTAAAGGTAAACTGAAACCTTCGCAAGCTGTCAACATCCATTTTACCTGGCACTAATTTATCAAGTACATTTTAGGTGGTAAGAGACAACAATAAAACTAGAACTGAGCCAGTGCTTTTTTTCCATTCATGGCTGAATTATAAAAATAGCCTTAATTTGTCAAAGACCTCTGGCAACCTGAGAACGCAAATTAACAAACTTTGTTGTAAAAAAACAACACTTCAGTCGAATCCAATAACAAAACTGGTTGGAGGTTTCTGTGAAAATGTTTCTGTGCATGCAAAAGTTACAGACGTACCAAATAAAAACAGCAACATTGACACCTAGAAGAGTCTCCCAAAATAAAATACAAAACTTACTTTTCTAATTTCCTCCAGTTCTTTTTGACTTTGATCATCCCTTGGCTGAAAATATTTTTGAGATGATACTTTTTTTTTCAAAAAAAGTGCCGCTTAAATGAGTTCTAATATTGCAGTAACACTCATGTATCAGTACTTAATGAAGCAAATAAGTTTCATTGGAAGAGCTAAGCATACTTTAGGACCTGGCCAATCAGGCCTATTCCAAGGTTTATTGGCCTCATTCTCCTTCGCTTTCAAATATTCTTTCAAACGAGATGCTTCCATTTGTCTGTGTCTATCTACACTTTCCGTTAAATACGCACTTGTTGTGATTGGCCGTGTTTCCACTGACTGAAAGCAGCACAGTCAAAAATAATTCCATAAAGTTAAAAAAATGGCTTAATGCATCGAAAAAATTTTTAAAAGAAAAGCACAAAATCTAGCACTCTAATGCATTTTTCAAACCTCAAATAAACTTCTTAAACAAACTTACTCTAATTCTCCGCTGCTCCAGTGGTTCTAGGTTGAGAAATGAACGTCGACTGTGTTCGCTAGGAAAATCTAATTTAGATTTGTGGCTAGATGGTAATTTCTGACTACTAGCCGGCATATTAGCATTGGAAGTAACTTTAGGTTCAATTATCTGCAACTTGTAGTGATCCTGAGTTTCTTTTACCTGAAAGACAAAATTTGCAAAATTTTAAAAAGCAAATCAACTTTCATTCCTAAAAAGCATTTTAAGAAAGACATAAATATAATAAGTTGAAATACACTTAATCATCAAAAACATATATCTGAAGCAAAAATTTTAATAAGCTACTGCAAAAACAAACCTTATAATCACCAACAGCTTCTGGTAAATTAGATGTTGAGCCAATTTTCATCTCATATCCCTAAAGTTATCCATTTTCAGCAAAAATTGAAAAACCTTGGTAAATAAATTTTAGTGAAACTTCCAAGTATTCATTCCTTCGTCTTTCTTGTCCTTCACCAAAACTAATCAAGCTTTTTTCAAAAAATTTTGATTCTTAAATTCATTTCTTGAACTAAGAACGAGAGACATCAAACTAATTACCACAAGTTGACTTTATAAGACCGTAAAACTTTATAACAACATTTTCTTCGCTTAGTAATGCTAAGTTAGTTACTTCAACAAAAGTCTTTTCAAAAAACCAACTGGTTTCTCAGTTTTCAGCTTGTAATTTGGAGTGACAGTGCGAATTTCCGATCTCCTTGATTCAGCTTGCACTGTGACTGGATTGTCGTCCTGAAATGAACGTAAAGCATTATACTTTCAGAAAATTCTTTAATGAGAAAATAATCTTTAAATTTTTTTAAATAAAAAA